AGGGTTATACTCAAAAGGAAGGTGAGGATTTCTTTGATACTTATTCACCAGTTACTCGATTGACCACAATTCGAGTTTTGCTTTCCCTGGCAGCCTCTTATGGTCTTATCGTTCATCAAATGAACGTTAAGACAGCTTTCCTAAACGGAGAGTTGGAGGATGAGATCTATATGGATCAGCCTGATGGGTTTGTAGCAAATGGTTAAGAAGGCAAAGTGTGTAAATTATTAAAGTCATTATACGGCCTAAAACAAGCTCCTAAGCAATGGCATGAGAAGATCGACAAAACTTTAACATCTGCTGGCTTTGTTGTGAATAAAGCTGACAAATATGTGTGCTATCGGTATGGTGGGGGTGAAGGAGTCATTTTGTGCTTATATGTTAATGACATACTGATCCTTGGATCCAGCCTCAAAGTGATCGAGGAGGTGAAGGAATTTCTATCTAAAAATTTTGAGATAAAAGATTTGGGAGAGGCTAATGTTATTCTTAATATCAAGCTTCAAAGAGAAGGTGATGGTGGGGTAACTCTATTACAAACCTACTATGTGAAAAAGGTACTGAGTCGCTTTGAGTTTAGTGACTGTATACCTGCTCCTACACCTTATGACCCTAGTGTGCTATTGAGGAAAAATTAGAGAATAGCAAGGGATCAGTTGAGATATTCCCAGATCATTAGTTCACTCATGTATCTTGCTAGTGCAACAAGGCCTGACATCTCATTTGCTGTGTGCAAGCTGAGTCGGTTTGTGTCAAACCCAGGAGATGATCACTGGCGTGCTCTTGAGAGAGTGATGCGCTACCTACAAGGGACCATGAGCTATGGTATTTGTTATACCGGACATCCAAAAGTGCTAGAAGGCTATTGTGATGCCAACTGGATTTCTGATGCTGATGAGCTTTATGCCATAAGTGGATATGTGTTGTCGCTTGGAGGTGGCGCTGTTTCCTGGAAGTCTTGCAAGCAGACTATCTTAACGAAGTCTATAATGGAAGCAGAACTCACAACATTAGACACTGCTGGATCTGAGGCTGAGTGGCTTCGTGATCTCCTTATGGATTTACCGGTTGTTGAAAAAACCATACCGGCTATTTCTATGAACTGCGATAACCAGACTGTGATTACAAAGGTTAACAGTTCTAAGGATAACATGAAGTCTACAAGGCATGTTAAGAGACGACTAAAATCTGTCAGAAAATTGAGAAACTCCGGAGTAATAGCGTTGGACTATGCCCACACATCTAACAATCTGGCAGATCAGTTCACTAAGGGTCTGTCACGCAATGTGATAGAAAATACATCGAGAGAGATGTGTTTGAGACCCACTTGAAATTTACTATATGGTAACCTGTTCTATGTGATCGGAGATCCCGTGAAGTAGGACGGTGAAACAAGCTAGTAGTAAATTATGAGGAAAGATCCTTAGTAAGACTCATTTCTGATGCATATCTTTTCTTTCTGTAAGGCAGGTTGGCTTTTGCCTTAATGTGTTCTAAGTGGCTTGTCAAAGCAAAGATGTTGTCCTACAAAATATCTTTTGAGAAACACACCTATATGAGTCAGGCTGCTGGTCATAGTCTATGAGATTTGGGTGATCTCTAAATACTCATGAAAGGCACTAAAGTATGACTTATATGCTTGAAATAGAGGGGAGGCCTTTTGCTGTCCAGTATCAGCTAAGGACTTTAGTGATATTCACCTCACACAAAACTGTCAATTCAAGGTTTAGTCCATTGTTCAGTTGTGACTGAGTGAAACTATTGTTCTAGATGGATGTTCAACTTAACAGTGTCCATCGAAACACTGGTATATAAAAGAAATGTGGTTCTAAGACTACTTTGTTACAAACCCTAGAGTTTGGTGGGGATTGTTGGATATAATATGGGCCTGGCCCATATAATATTTAATAAATCAAATAAAACTCTATGGTACTTAACATTAAGTGTTGTATGGCTTAATACCATACGGGATTTTGACTGAACGCTGACTCAGCTTATATGGTTGGAAATTATTCATCTAAATTGAGAAGCTGAGAAAAGGATAAAGGCGTGCCACACGCGCGCGCGCACGCCGCCGGCGGCGGCCGGGCCATGGCCGTGGGCGTGGGAGCGGGCCGGGCCGAGGCCGAGGCCGTGGGCGTAGCGAAGCGAGCGAGCGGGCGAGCGTGGCCAGTCTTTTGCCACTTAAATCCACATTATCACAGGAGTTTCACTCCTGCGGAGGCGTACTGACTGCGTCAGTTACCGTCCCTTCCGCTTCCCGTCTCCTAGAATTCTCCGCGGCCTTCATCTCCTTCCCCGGTCGCAGCCATATATCCTGTCTTCCGTCAGTCCAGACCCCGTCTTCTGTAACCACTCCCGAGAGAACCACAGATCAGCAGTCTTCTAACTTTCCCGTCCCGTACCTCTACGCGCACGGAGGAGCGGGAGAGCAGGTGCCTCCGGAACCCTCGACCGCCTGAGAATCCTGCACGTGGTGAGCGACGATTAGGTTTTTGGGGAGCGATCCACGACTGGTCGTCTATCTTCTTCCTGCTGGAGATCGCTCTTGGATCCGTCTTCTCCCTGGAACGTCAAGGCGTCTTCTTCCTGGTGATCTATTCGTGAGACTGCACTGCGAACATCTTCCTGCATCGACTGTGGTCCACGACTTCGAGCAACGTACTATGTCGACTAGTGCGAATGGAGCCTCCGATGCCCTCGGCATGGGACCCTCTGCTGGGTACAGTCTAATCTCTGTGATTACTGTATTTTGTATTCTTACTGTATCAATCACTATGTCATCTATGCATGCTGTAGCGTTCATAAGAAATATACACATGCACATATATGCTGTCACAAACCTGCTGATGTTATATTTTTGGATTAAACTGATAATAAAAATGCCTAAATTTCTAACAGCCGGTTCCCACTCTCGCTCCTCGCGGTGCTGCTGGCCTTCTCTGCGGAGGCGGATCCAGACCCCGGGCGCGCTCATCTGCACCTCTTGTGGCATCATCCAGGACGACGACGATGTGAGTACGTCCACCAGTCCACCTTCAACGACTCGGGGGCCTCGATCTCCGCGTCTCCTCCCTCGTCCGCAAAACTCCGACTCCGCCTACCGCGATCAGAGGCCGGCCAGCCGTGAGCGCAGAGGGAAGGGGCGAGCCGGCGAGGGATGGAGGGAGGGCGCGAGCGGGCGGTAGGGATGCATGGGGGGCGACACTGCACATCCATTGAACATCAACCGTTGGATATGGTTGAGTAAGGAGAGAAAATGAAAGAGAGATGATCTGGTGCGTACGTTTCTATAATGGTGAATCTATGGGTGTATTTAGTGGTGTGGGTGTAGTTAAGATCATCTCTGTGGAGAGGGTAATTGTTGGGTGGACGTAGAATAATTTAAACTGGTGTATTATAGGGGTAGGGATCGACCCGTTAGTCCCCTGGGACTTGCCGTGACAAACATTGTAGGTTGGGTGACCAGCTATATTTCCAATATTTAACCCAAATTTTGATATTTAACCCTCGATACGTGTACCTCTCTACATTTGACATCCAATTTGCATGTCTTTAGAAATTTGACTCGGAGCATCAGAATTGTTTTGATTCATGGAATTTATCTCATTTTCTATTTTCAATATTCTCTTCTCACTGCTCATGCCACGGGAAAAGACCAAATTACCCCTGAGCGCGTCTTAGAACGATGCCCCGCAGTGGGGCATGTGGAAGAGCGTGGGCTCCTCAGCGTGACGACGACACCAATTGTCGAGGCTCGGGACGGAGAAGTCGAGCGCTGCGGCTGTCGCGCACTCGACGGCGGAGAGGATGAGATCAAAGAGGTCCTCGAGGGTGGCCTCTGGGAGAAGGTCGCGACGGAGGAGGGTGGCGAGTGCGAGTTGGAGGCGCATGGTGGGGGAGGACTCGAAGCTGTTGATACTATCATGGTTATGAAAAAAAAACAACTTATCCGACGATGTGCAGGGGTAATTTGGTCTTTTCCTGTGGCCTGAGTAGTGAGAAGAGAATATTTAGAGAAATCCCTTAGTTTGACATTACTCACAAAATAAAAAGTAATGTTGTTTGACAAGGGGCCCTCACTGATTAGCTATGGTGTTCCGCCCTTCTGGCAGCCTGTTCGTTTGTTGGTTTCAGTCAGGGCTTATCAGCCAATCAACAATGTTTTTTTCTCACAATAAACCAGCACCAACCGAGCTTATCAGCCTAGAAACCAACCAGCAAACAAGACGTATGTTTTCGTTGAGACACTATTTATCAACGGCATGCCTTGCAAAAGCATTGTTAATTGACCGGTTGGATATCAGTGATGTTGGAGCTGAATGTATTAGGGGGTGACTGTATCCTGTCCGTTGAAGTTAAAACGACGGCACCGGTCCATGCTGGGATGGTCGTAAACTCTAACGGAACCTACGGTACACAAGACAAATGGGATTAGAGGTAGGTTTAAGGGCATAGCTTGTTGGGATCACCAGTACGTCTAACTTGTAAGAGGATGGGTCTCGAGACTGTGTCATACAGAATATGAAGATTCCATTCTGTATCGTTGTTGGGCGTATGTTTTCTAATTCGTAGGGACATAGACGGTGAGTCCACACTGTGATCTATAAGTAAAAAAGATAGATGAAAGAATCACTATGCTATTTAATTTTAAAGGTATGTATAAATATAGATATAAATATAAATTAGATATATTATTATATACTTTTGTCTAGGCTTCGTTTGGCTGCTATTATAAGCCGACTTATAAGTCGATTTATCAGCCATGGTATAATATTTTTTTTCAACAAATCAGCCGTACAAATCAGCATAAGCGACTTATAGATCAGCCCAACAGAGCAATAATAATAATAATAATAACATAGATCAGATAAGAAGACTGCTTGCTTTGAGATATGTGCTCGGAAATCGGTCGGCAGTTGTTTGATTTTGTCGGAGAAGCGTCTCCATCACGAGCGTTTTGCAATTCATTCATCCCCCAAAGTTCGCCGGTGTTCGGGATGCCGCCCCCCTCCTCCGCGGAACGCCTCGTCGCCCACTGGGTCGCTGATGCCCTCGCTGCCGATGAGGACATCGATTTCTCCGTAATAAAGAGTAAGCTACAAGCCTTGATCGCGTGTGTCGCGCACTCGGTTCTCCTTCACTCCTTCGTTCTCTCACCTAGGGTTCCTGATGCTCCGCCAGCGCTGGTGGACCTCTCGCCTGAGTACCTCATCGGCGCCCCAGATTCCGTGCGGGAGCGGGTGGCGCTCCGGGGCCTCGAGGAGCATGCAACCTTCGCCGACGCCGCCGAAGGTGGTGCTGCGGTGGCGCCACCTCCGTCGAAGATTCTTAGGGTTGACGCCGTCCGCTCTTGCGAGGACTTGCTGGTTGAGCTCACCGAGCAGGTATTTAGAGCCTATGCAACCATGTGCATTTTCGATGTGGGTGTTTCTGACTTCTGATTTGTCTATCCATTTTATTAAGTGAAGAGCTTGCATTTCTGTTGATGTTGATTATTTTATCCCGTCACTTTTGAAACATTTCAAAGGAAGCTATATAGTTATTTGTTGTAGCCACTTGGTTTCTGTTTCAGTTGAAACTGTCCTGATTTAGTTGTGAATTGTGATTGGTAGAAACTTTGCGATAGAGCAGGGAAATTCACTAAAACTGGGAAGCCTGTGTTTAGTGAGGATAAACGAATGTATAGATGCCATTTTTGTTTTCAAAACTTAATAAACTGGACAGAGTATCTGATCACAAGCTATTCTTGTTGACCAATGTCATCGTCACAATGGGTTGAAAGAAAAACAATTGGGATAGATCTGTAGCGTTTTCATTCCAATGATAAAAACTGAAATTTACATTTTAACATTGACTATATATATCCATTTTCAGCTAAACTGATTCAAAGATTATCTTCAACAAGTAACTGAATCTGTAATTTTTATTGATGATTCAAGAGTGATAATATGATGTGTGATCATTTTTTATTTGTTTGTCATTATGATATTGAAATTGTGGAGTGTACTTCATCAAACGTGCGAGTTCGATCTAAAATGTGGAGTGTACTTCATCAAAGTTCGCCGATGCCCATCTTGCAGTTCTCGCTGCCTTCTTTGGATGTAAAGCTGATGACAGCTTGTAAGTCCATTCAGCGGAGTTGTTGGCTGAATGGACAGCCGTTTATTGGCTGGGTCGTTCATTTTATTTTGTCTCCATGACGTGGTCGTTTAGTCCTATATAGCAGAGGTGCTGGTGGTGGTTGTTTGTAGTGATTGGTGGCGCGTCTTTAGCTAATCCCTTGCTAGGTGTGCATGTGCTGGGTTTGGGAGAAGGTATTCTGCATCTATCCCTTGTATTATTCACCTTTTTCTTCTTAATTAATGAAATGACACAGCTCTTATGCATAGTTCGAGAAAAAGATATATGATTCCGATTTTTAAAAAGTATTACTGCATTTGCATAAGTCATGGATACCTACTGTGGAAATTTTACAAGTATGTGGCTACCGGCTACTGCTTATTGGTGGTTCTTTGTGATTCAAGTGTAGCTTGGCTTATCATTTGTGAAACAATCTTCAAGCATTTTAATTTTGTGTATTGTCTTCCAAAACTAAGACATTTTGCAATTTGGTTGTCAATTGTCATCAAGCCGTTCCAAGTTTCCAGATTCAAGGTATATGTTACTTAGAGTGTAGAATTTGCAGGTTGGAAGCTCTGGAATTCGGGATATAATTCTGCCTTTTAGACAAGATATTCAAAACTTTATTTGTATCAAGAAATCTACACTACCAGAATCTTCTTTGGAATTGGTAAGTTGCAAAGGTATTTTCAAAATGAAAAATTTGGAGGTCTCCCCAAAATATTACCAAGCTGTTGTTTTATATGCAGCTCAGAGAAGTGGACCCAGAGATCCAATCTATGGCTGCACCATCATCAGTGGAGCAGAATGGTATCAAGAAACACGACAATCATCAATCCTTATGCAATGTCCACCATCTTAACTCAAATATTGATACACCTAGGCCCCCTATTGCCAGTACTGAGCTTCAGCCTGGGAATTTAACAAATTTAGTCAACAACCTTGAAAAAGGTAATTTCAAGCAGTGTCCAATCGAATCAACTGTTGATCTTGATAAGCCACTTGAAACAGACAGAAGGTTCTACAATCAACCATGGGAATATGCTATAAATGCTGCTAGTGTTGGCACAAGGGCTTCAGAAAAGGATCCTTCTAATGTGGACAGTAACATGTCAGGTTCTTCTACTAGCGGCAATGCGACTTTGCAGGGAAACATTGCAGAACCCTTATCAAAGAAGAGTATGGTAGATGAAACCACTGTGGTTCAAGCACAACCTTGTAAAGGAAAATCACCAAATCCACCAGATTATAATAATGTGATAAAGAGACCAAATGATGATGGTATCAGTTATCAATCATCGAAGGATCCCAGACATGAAAGCAAAACCTTGCAGGCTACGATGACTCCAGCTTTTGACAGAAGCAATGATGTTTTACCAACCAATACACCTGAAGCGAGCGACTTCCCTGAGCCTATTGCTACAGAGGATACAACAATGGTTCAACAGCTGCATAGCTGCAAAACTCACCTCAATCATCTGCAGCATGACAGTGGTCAGAAGGTAAACCAAGACCTGGATGGCACCGTCAGCATTCAGCCTGTTGAAAAGTATTCCATTCATGAGGAATCAACTCTGCGGGCTACTAGCGTTATACCCTCTGTAAGCTGCAATGGTGCTATGCAAGAAGACAGATCTAAAACCAACTATCCATCAGGCAATAGTACTGAGCATCCTGCAATTTTTGAAGAGCAGAACTGTGACAAGTCTCAACTGGAAGTTAGTTGTGCCGACAAAAACAAACACACTCTGCATGATGATGCCACCATGTTGGGAAAAAACAAGGTCGTCTGTGGTGGTCTGAATGTGCATGGTGCTCCAGAGTCTCATAGCTGCAATCTAACCTTGCATGATAAGGTTTCAGAAGCCCACAGTTTATCTGATCAGAACATTGGAAAGAGCACAAATGACATCCAGAAACGTAGTTGCAATATATCTGTTTCAGTCTCTTGTCAGGATGGATACAGAAAAACAGCAAAACAAGATTCAAACAAGCAAACCATTGGGAAAACTGCGGCAGAAACATCACATGCACATTCCTCAGATGATAGTATCAGTGGATTTGCTGCTGCTTGTCTGCTGTCAATGAGTGGCAAAATTCCACTATGCAGCCAGGATCAAGAAGCCAATGATTCCCTCAGGGTCTCACCAGAACAAGATTTATGCAGAAAATGTGGAAAAGGTGGCCAGCTGCTTCAATGTAGCAGCTGCTTGTTATCTGCTCATGACAGCTGTTTTGGTTCATCATTGACATTTGAAGACCCTGGACAGTTATATTGCCCAGTATGCATCTGTGCTAAAGCCACTGAAGAATACAAAAAAGCAAAGAAAACATATATTGAAGCTAGGAAGAACCTAGCTGCTTTCCTTGGTGCAGAGCAATTGCTCAAGCAACACGAGCAGCAAACTAGACTGCTTCCAAGAGCCGTCTACAGCGAGGGCCAATTGAATGGACATAATAACTCATCAAAAAAGCAAACTAGCGTCAGTGAAACCACAGTTGATGACCTTGCTCATCAGGGTGAAGAGTCTAATCGGCGGCGGAAGAAACAGAAAATAAATGTTACAAGTGATGCTTGTAATGAGGTAGTCATTGAAAAGGCATCTTCAGTTGGGAATTCTGATGTGGCACCCATGAATGCTTCTGTGCTCCAGAACAAAAACAATCAACTTCAGGATGCAGAACAAGACCATGTGGAAAACGCAGAGGCTCATGAGGGAAGTTCATCTCAGAACAGATGCAGTCCTGCTGCAAATCCGGAAGTTGAGACTGACAAAGAGGATGGCCCCACACATTCTCATCACCAGTCTAAAGACTCTGATGAAATAGAATTTACATCTTCAAGTGACTCTGGCAAGCCATCATCACCCCCTTGGCGTACCATTAAGCATCACAGAGCAAGACTACAAGAGAGGGAAGCAACAGTATCAAGTAATTCTACAAAAGCGTTTGGGCAGAAGGATCAAAAAGAGCCTTTACCATCAAGGAAACGGAATTATGCATACCCACCCAAGCGTTAGTAAGTTTTTGAATGATGCTTCATAAGCACTTCTTTCCCTATTTGTATGCACACTTACTGCAGTTTGCATAATGCAAAAAGTTCTTTCTTTTTCAAGAACGACTCTATTAGTTTAAAACCAAATGACATTAAGCCCACTGATTTAGATGTGCGATAAATAAACCTCTTGTAGATAAGGCTCTGCCATGGGCGTTTGCTTAAACCATTTCCACAGTTCCGCTATTTGGAACTCTTAGTTCAGCCTCCTAGAATGGCATGAGTAACATGCTACTGCTCCACTTTTAGATTGCTTCAACTTGAATGTCTTAAAATGTTTCTGATATGACATTATATAATGTCATCATAAATTCATAATGATATGGAGTCATTTTTATTCTTCGTGAGTGATTTCACATTTGTGACACTATCTACATGAGTTATTATGAATCGACTCTTCACACTAATGGAGTAAATGAGGAGTTTTTGTGAGTTAACCAATCATTTTTGTGAAATTTTGTTTAGGCTACTGAAGTTAGGTTGCATATGGGGATGATATAGCCAATGCATTTTTGTTGGGTGTCAATAATTGTTTAATAAAATATCGAACAATGACACCTTTAGGACAGTTTATTGTCATTTTTGAGTGATCTGTTTATATTATGATGAAAAATATGTATATGAAAATGTACCATTTTACTTGTGTCAAAAAAATGTACCATTTTAGTGTGTACTTTCTCCCAATAACTGAGCATGTCCATGTGGCAGTTCCAATCCTGCTGTGCCGACTGGAAGGCGATCCAAGCTTTGTTGGACAGTAAAGGAAGAAGCAGCTCTAAGGGTAATAATGATTCTTTTGTTGTGGGTTTCTATTTGATTTGCTTGCTCGTACTAGAGATTTACTTTTCATTGTGCTGATCCAGGAAGCAATGAAAATATTCACCCCACGGGACAACGGGCCTATTCCATGGGTTCAGATACTGGAGCACGGCAGAGACGTATTTCACAGGACACGTCTCCCAAGTGATCTGAGGGTCAAGTGGAGGAACATGAAAAATAGAGGAGACGTGTGACGCTGACAGTTTCACCCCCTGATCTAACCAACAAACCACGTCTAACCCTTCCCTCACCTCATTGAATATCCTCATGTAACAATGTAAATGCATTGTGCTATATTCTCGCCAAGTAGGGACCAGAAAGTCTTCGTCGTCCAGCAGTTGATGTTCATGCATGCTAGTCGATATATTTTGTTTTGGATCCTTAGGAAACTAGGAGAATTGTTTTTCTGTTGGGAAGCTCGTCGGACTGTCATCCGAGCAACATCAGGTTGTTGATTTTTCCCAGTCTTTTGCTCTATTTTGATCTAGTGGTATTGTTTTTTTTTTTCTGTAACTTAGAAATATTTCTGTGGTCGCTGCCAGTTATAGCATGGCGGGTTTTGGTGCGCAACCAGCATGCTCTTACCCTCAATTTGGTCAAAGGCGCGCAGATGGAGCAGGAAACAACGAATTGATGGTGCCATCGTTGTGGACGATGATGTGTGCCTTGGACGTTGGGCCATCAGATAGTGTCTAAAATTTACGATGGACAAAGAAAACTACTTCCTCTTTCAAATTATTATAAGATGTATTGATTTTTATAGATATATTGTTTTTATTATTTATTTAGATATAGTGTATGTCTAAGTGTATAAAAAAATTATGTATCTAGAAAATCCAAAATGTCTTAAGACTCCTTTGAAACATAGGCATTTTGTAGAAAATGTACCAGAATTTGATAGGAATTAAGTTACTTTCACAGAAAAAGCACAGCAAACATGAAAATTTCGTCCATTCCTAGGGTCTTATCTTCAATGTATGGAACCGTCCTCTATTCCTATACTGTGATGTGACTTTACATGCTAAACTGGTCAAAATTTGTCAGTGTATAGAAACATACTCTGGCTATGTTTGACTTGTTGAAACTTGGCTGAAAAATACTATTCTGGCTGAATTGTTGTGAGAGAAAAACACTTTCGGCTAAAAAAACAAGTCGGTTTCTGGGTAAGCCGAACGGAGCCTCTGACTCTATACATGGGATCCACACCATTAAAAAAAGTACATAATCTGCTCAACCACCTCTTTCCCTGTCTCCCACCTCTCATCTCCTATCGTTCTTCTCCGCCTCCTCCCTCCTTGCGTGGCTCCTCCGACGTCTCCTACCTCCTCGCGCGGCTAGGCACCCCCATTCACTTTCTCCTCATCGGATCTAATGGAGCTGCCACCATCACTTGGAGCCTGCCACCGCCTCGATGTATGCTGCTTGGAGCCTAGAGCCTGCCGCGCGCCCTCCTCTGCTGCCCTGTCTCCCCATCCACAAGGTTGGGCGATGTCGGATCTGGTGAGTAGCACCATACCTGTCTCCATCGAGGCTGCAGATGGCCAGATTTGTTGGGGGCGGCAGGTGCCACCGATGCGCGTGGAAGGGGAGGGCGAAGTCCTCGATAGCCCTGAAGTCCCCCCGAAGCTCCTCCAACTTCCTCTCGGCAGCAGGAGCAGCAAAGAAAGAAAGAAGAGACGGTGAGAGAGAGACCATAATTTTTTATTGGATCCGGGTTCGATAGATGAGAGTAGCTCCTTTTATGAAGTCGGCCGCACAGTGTGAAGGAGCAAATACACCCACTGCGGACGTTTTTATAGGCCATGTTCGCTTCTCTTATAATCCGTACTTTTCAGCTTGTTTTTTCAGCCGGAACAGTGTTTTTCTCTCACAACAAATCAGCCGAAACAATGTTTCGGCTTGTTTTTTCAGCGAAGCGAACGGGACCATAATATGTGATGAAGGGAGTACCTACTTTAATATTACACTTCTCCTGTATTTCAGGTGTTTAAATTTTGAGATGATTTCAAACAACCTTTTATACCATCAACTAGTATAAGTAAATTGTTACTTTTATAATTTATTATTTGTTTTTATGTCATAACATATCAAATGTGTGTCCTTATGTGACTAACAACTGTAAATTGTTAATTGACTTTATGTGAACACAAATTAAACTTTGTCGGGTTTGTAGTTTTATCTAAGTATCTAACGGGTTTTTTTATTCACGAAACTGAAAATTGTAGATTGTGCTCAACGAAGTAAAGCTACAATTTTAATATAAAATATATGCAATAACCATCATTTGTGAATGAAAGGAAACTAAAATTCAGGCACATAAATTTTAGCAAAAATTGCATTTCACCGTGCTTCACTACCTCGCATTTCCCTTCCCAAATTTTAGCAAGTCGCATTTCACCCCGCTTCACCGTCTCGCATTTCCCTTTCCTTCCGCTTCGTCCCGCCAAAATCGAGAATATTTGCGCTTCCCTCGTCTTCATTCCTCGTTCCCCGCCAAAAAGAAACCCTACAATATAAACTCTCCCTCTGGAGTCTGGATCCCCAATCCACCGTCCCCTACTGCCCTCCAGTCCTCCATTGCCTGGCCTCTCGCTCCCAGCCGCGCTTCAATCCTCTTCACCGTCGCGTCTCATCCTTCTCCTCACCGTCGATTGGCCGCTATGGCGTGTGCTGCCGGCGACCCCCGCGACCCTCCAGAGAGGCCTCTGAACCAGCCCGCCCTCTTGGGGGATGACCTGGCCGCCTTCCGCGCCGTCCTCAGCGCGGACCTCCCGGTGACCGCCGCCGTCGACGCGCTCAACCGCTGCAACGGTGACACCGAGCGTGTCATCAAATGGCTCCTCGACGATGCAACTGCCGCCAACAGTGACGGCGGCCTACATGGGACTCGAGAAAGGGGCGTCAAGGCGGAGTGCGGCATTGGCGACACCTCCTGCCCCTCGCCGCCTCTGCTTTCGGTGAAGGTTGAAGTAGCCGACGAGGGTGAACTCAAGGTCAGTGTCAAGAGGGAGCCAATCGATGCCGATGCCGATGAGGTGAAGGTAAAGGTTGAAGCTTGCGGCGAGGCAGAGGTGAAGGTGAAGGTTGAAGCCCCTGGTGGGGTCGAAGTGAAGGTGAAGAGGGAGCCAATCGAAGCCAATGGCCACTTCCAAGAGCAATCTGGTCATCGGATCAAGCAGGAGGAGGAAGCCGACGAGGTCGTTGTCAAGGAGGAGCAGGCACGTGATTCGCCAATCAAAGGACAACTTTTGTCGCGGCGCCGTGTCAAGGAGGAGAGTGACAACAATGAAGATGAGGTGGAGATCGTGGTGATAGAATATTACAGGACCAACTAGCCATAGATCTAGCATGTGTACTTATATTTGGAGTAAATAGCGAGTGCTAGAACATGTACTAGTACGGGATTAACAGATAGAGTGAGAGAGATAGGGGTTGAGGAGGTGCAAACCATCGGTTGCCTTCGTAGAAGGTGAGCTGGCCATGGGGTTACTTGACGGTGGCGCTGTGATGCCCAGCGGTGAAGGCGCTGTCGTTGTGGCGACGGTGCAGAGGCGGCGGTGGCGGAGCTTCCTGTCGCTGGCAACGTCCCCTCTCTAGATCGGCAAGGGTTTAGGGACTGTAGGTGGGCGTCTAGCGGCTCAGGTGAACCTCGTGCCTTGTGCCCCAGCCCCCACCTCCCTTTTATGGCGCTGTGTGATGGGGGCCCACCAACCATGGAACGGTTGGGCGCCCCCGATCAGGGCGCGGATCCAAGGGCCTAATTGGCCGTTGGGCTAATTGGTGGAGATCATCTAACATTCTCTCCCTTGATCTTACCTTATGACTTAAACTTAACTTACTTACTTTATCTTGTTCCCATTTCATCATAGATCAGTGCATAGAGCATGCCTCATCGTCACGGTCAGTTGCCATTAGATTAAACAGCTACAATTTACCTCTCTATTTTGAAACAGATTCTCAACTAGGCCCTTATTGTCCAGGAATTATAGGCTTTCCCTTAAACCCATGCGGCTAAGTGTTCTCTGAACACGCTGGGTGGTAAGCCTTTTGTAAGCGGATCCACGAGCATCTTTTCTATTTTTATATGCTCAAGACTAATTATATGATCCCGGACTTTGTCTTTTATAACATAATACTTTATGTCAATGTGTTTGGCAGCACCACTTGACTTATTGTTGTGAGGATAACATATCGCTGGATTATTATCGTAGTATAACTTGAGTGGCTTATGTATGTCATCTACCACTTTCAACCCAGGCATGAATTTCTTCAGCCAATTCACCTGCCTTGTGGCCTCATAACATGCTACAAACTCGGCATACATTGTGGACGATGTAGTAACGGTTTGCTTTGAGCTTTTCCATGATATAGCTCCTCCTACGAGAGTGAATATGTATCCTAACGTGGATTTTCTGTCATCTCCCGTATAATCAGAATCTGTATACCCCTCTATGCGCAGGAATCAGATCTTATGTACGTTAGCATGAGACCCTTCGTACCTTGCAGGTAATATCTCTAGTTTTCTATTCCTGGATTACTCTAATATCTGCTAAGTAACCCGATAATAAATGCTAAGTCAGGGCGAGTACATATTTGAGCATACTGTAAACTTCCGATAGCTGAACTATATGGAAACGCTTTCATTTGATTGATCTCATATTGGTTCCTAGAGCATTGAAATTCTCCATATTTGTCGTCCTTGACTATGGGAACAGGTGAAGACTTATAATTTTACATACTATATTTTTTAGAATTTTTTCTAAGTATGCCTTTTGTGATAATCCTAAAACTCCATTTTCTCTATCTCGGTGAATCTCTATTCCTAGGACGAATGAAGCTTCACCGAGATCCTTCATATCAAACTTCAAGGACAAGAACTTCTTTGTTTCTAGTAGTAGATTAACATCACTACTAGCGAGCAAGATGCCATCCACATACAAGACTAGGAAAATATATTTCCCATTCTTGAACTTTGCATAAACACAATTGTCCTTTATATTTTTTTGAAACCCAAACTTTCTTATTGTACTATCAAACTTTAAATACCACTATCTTGAAGCTTGTTTTAACCTGTAAATAGATTTCTTCAGGCGGCATCCCATGCGTTCTTTTTTTTCCACAACAAAACCTTTCGGTTGTGCCATGTAAACATTTTCCTCCAGATCCCCATTTAGGAATGCCGTCTTTGCATCCATCTGATATAATTCTAAATCGTAATGTGCTATAAGCGTCATTATAATTCTAAAAGAATCCTTACATGAGATTGAAAAAAATATCTCATTATAATCTATACATTCTCTTTGCGTGAAGCCTTTCGCCACAAGTCGCGCTTTAAATCTTTCTATATTCCCTTTGGAGTCATGTTTAGTTTTGTAGACCCATTTATAGCCTACTGTCTTGGCTCCTCTAGGAATTGTTTCTAAGTCCCAAACACCGTTGGTTTTTATTGATTTCATTTCATCTTCCATGGCTTTAAGCCACTTGGATGAGTGAGCGCTTCTCATGGCTTCTTTAAATGAGATGGGATCACCCTCCATTTGAAATTCTTCACATTCATAAACTTCATAATCATCAAGAATGGCTGATCTCCTGACTCTTTGAGACCTTCTAAGGACCTCGTTAGATGACGCTTGTTCTACATAAGTTAGTTGTTGCTCTCCCTCATGTGTGACAATGGGTTCTAGAGGATCCTAAAGGATAGGTTCCTCATGTTCATTCATTGTTGCCACAGGAGAACTAACAATAGGTGCTGTTACTACAGTGTCTTGCACTGTTGGTACAGCAACAACAGGTAGCGTGAAGAATGGCTCCTGAACCATAGGAGTGAGCACGTATACCCACTTCTCTTCAAAACTAATTTCTTGCGCTACCATGCTCCCCTTGATCATATCATCCTCCAAGAAGACAGCATGTCTTGTTTCTACAAACTTCGCTTATTTGTCAGGACAATAGAAGCGATAACCTTTTGACTTTTCTGGATAGCCAATGAAATGGCAACTAACTGTCTTAGAGTCTAGCTTCCCTATGTTTGGGTTAAAAAACTTTTGCCTCAGCTGGACAACCCCACATACGTAAATAGTTAAGTGAGGGTTCCTTTTCTGTCCACAACTCATACGGTGTTTTGGGAACCGACTTGCTTGTCACTCGATTAAGTATATGAATGGCGGTTTTTAACGTCTCCATCCATATACTTATCGGTAAGGTAGAGTAACTTATCATGCTTCTCACCATATCCATTATGGTACGGTTGCGTTTTTAGCTACTCCATCCTGCTGAGGCTCGCCCGGTGTAGAATATTGGGCTACTATGCCATTTTCCTGTAAGAAGCTTGCAAAGGGTCCAGAAACTTGGCCATATGGGGTGTGTCGACCGTAGTACTCTCCCCCACGGTCGGACCTTACTACTTTAATCTTTAAGTTGGGCTGATTTTCTACTTCAGCCTTAAATATCTTAAATTTATCCAATGCTTCCGATCTTTCTTTAATTGGATAAATATAGCCAAAACGAGAATAGTCATCTGTGAATGTTATAAATGAATCATAATCATCCACACTATTAATAGGAAAAGGACCACAGATGTCTATATGAACTATTTCTAAGATTCCTACGCTTCGTTTGGCATCTTTCTTTATTTTCTTAATGTACTTTCCTTTTATGCAATCTATGCATTGTTCTAAATCTAAAAATTCTAAAGTGGAAGAATTGATTTCTTAATCAATCACTCTATTCTCCCCCCTCAAAATATGGCCTAAACGATAGTGCCATAATTTTGATGATGTATCATGAACTCTCTTCCGCTTATTACTTGCATTCATAGACGAGGAGACATTCCCATGCTCAGTGCTCACATCATTCACATTCTCAGAAAGTGATAATAAATAAAGCTTGTCTTGTCGGAAGGCAAGACCAACACACTTATTATTAATCACAATCCAACATTTAACATTACCAAAATGGCAATCATATCCATCATTATCTAATCCTGAGACACTTATCAAGTTTCTATGCAAAGAGGGTACATAAAGAATATCTAAAAGTTGAAGTCTAAAACCATCATCTAATTCTAGATAAAGATCTCCTATGGCTTTAACTTCAGCTTCAACTCCATTTGCTACTTTAATTCTTCTTTCTCCTCTTTGCAGGGTCCTCCTCGTATGGAATCCCTGTAATGAATTTGCAACATGAACAGTTGCACCTGAATCAATCCACCAAATAGATTTTGCATAACTTAAATACAAGGATTCATCTATGAATGTTATAAAATCCTCACCTCTCTTCAGAAGGCTCTTCAGGAAGTCTAGACAGTCCCTCTGGTAATGTCCATGCTTCTTGCACCATTTACACTGATCCTTCTCAACTTGAGCATTGTTGTTCTTCGGATGGTGGTCATTCTGAGGGGCTTTCCCTTTAGGTTTGGCATTCTTATTAGAATTCTTCTTTTTGTTTTCCTTCACAAGGTTAGTAGAGTCACCCTATGAGCTTTTTAGCCTGTCCTCTTCTTGAACACATATTGCGATGAATTTCTCTATGTCCCACTTATCGGGCTGCATGTTGTAATTAACAACAAAAGTTTCATATTCCTTTGGCAAGGAAGCAAAAACCAAATAAATCAGGAACTCATCCTTGAGCCCCAAATCCATTGGCTTCAGCTTCGAAGCCGTGTTGCTCATCTTCAGTATGTGCTATCTGATACCGCCACCATTGTATTTTTCATTAAACAATTTCTTGATCAAAGTACTGGCATAAGCCTTTGAAGAGCCAGTGAACTGACTCTCCACTTTCTTAAAATACTCTGTAGCGGTGTCACAATCTGGGATAGACCCTCTTATCGCATTTGAAATTATGAACTTAGCCACCATCAAGCACTTGAGTTTGAAATGTCCCATTTATTGCGTTCGAGATCATACTTCATCCACACTTCTGCATGATCTCGCTGTCGAGCAGTGAAATCAGCATCAGTCTCATTACCTTCCCTCACCGGGCCCACTGGCTTAGTCAGAATGGGGAGGTGAGCGCTAGGTCATTTTCAGACAGCGCAAGTGCTAGTTCATACTTCTTTCACCATACCCTGTAGTTGCCCCCTTCAAGAGGTGGTATGTGCGAGATAAAAGCCATTGGATTGAGTCCTGAAAACACCGTTAGAGATAGTGAGAAAATATGACATCATAATTGCATGCTTTAATTTAACATTGGTCAAAATTAAAATATACAACATTCTTATACACTAATTCTATATCACCGTTGGGTAGAAATAGAATTAACACATGGAAAACTTATGAATAAACATTATAATATTATTATCATCAACGTTGGTCAGAAAATAACAATACGATAATTTAACTTAAGCAAATATAACTACTCCAATTAAAATTTTCCCGTTGGTTCAAAAATTAATCAGAGGATAAACTGATCATTGCAGCAGAAAACTCATACTTAATTGGTGAATTTTACCCATAGGAAAATTCCCTTTACTAATTTTATTTGAGCCATTAATCAAATACCAGGAAAAGAATAAATTCTCTAGAATTTAGAAAATGAAAAAGGGCTCAAAGCATCACTGTTTACTCGGCCCAAGCAGCAAAGCGGCCCAGCCTGCCTCGCGCGCGCACCCGCAGTTCCCTCCCAGGCCGCAACCTGGGCCTGGGCCGGGAAAGCAGCTTGCCGCTCGCACCCGCCTGGGCCAAAATTTGGCCCGTTCGCTCTGCACCGTCCATCTCAGATCGACGGTCGAGCGCGCTCCTCGGCGGAACAAAACAGTGCGCGGCGCCTCTCTGGAACCCTAGTCTCATTCTGTCTCCCTCCCCTTCCTCTCTCAGTGCAGCGAGCAGCAACCATCGAGCGAGAGTTGAGAGGTGATGGCGCCGTCGCCGCCCCCCTCGTCGGCACGCTCGCTCCCTAGCGGGTGAGCGCGCCGCCGTCGAGCGGCCTAGCCGCAGCGCCCTTGGCCAGAGCTCGCGCAAGCCCGACGAGCAGCAGTGTCTCGGCCTTCTTCTCGCGCGCCGACGAGACGACAGTGCGGTGCAGCGGCGAGGTAAGCCGTCTCCCAAGCCCTTCCTCTTTCCTCTTCTTCTCTCTGAGTGGATCTTGTCCGATTAGGGGTTAGGGTTAGGGTTAGGTCGAGTTAGGGTTGGGGTTTGAGTACTGTTCTGCTTCCCGAGCTGTCTACGCGAGTTAGGGTTTGAGTACTTTTTCAAAACCGAGACCATTTCTTACTCATTTTCTTCACCCGATTTGGGTTTAGGGTTCGGTGAACCCTCTGCTTAGATCTGAATCGGATCTCTCACCTCCTTCTAATTGCTGCTACTCAGTTTTTTATCCCGATAAGCTAGATTTACGTCTAGTTAGACGATTGATACCATTGATAGAATATTACATGATCAACTAGCCATAGATCTAGCATATGTACTTATATTTAGAGTAAATAGCGAGTCCTAGAACATGTACTAGTACGGGATTAACAGATAGAGTGAGAGAGAAATAGGGGTTGAGGAGGTGCAAACCATCGGTCGTCTTCGTAGAAGATAAGCTGGCCATGGGATTACTTGACGGTGGCGCTGTGATGCTCGGTGGTGAAGGCGCTGTCGTGGTGGCGACGGTGTAGAGGCGGCGGTGGCCGGTGGCGGAGATTTTCGTCGCTGGCAACGCTCCCTCTCTAGATCGGCTAGGGTCTAGCGGCTCAGGTAAACCTTACGCCTTATGCCCTAGTCCTCATCTCTTTTTTTATGGTGCTATGCGACGAGGGCTCATCAACCATGAAACGGTCGACGCGCCCCCGATCAGTACGCGCATCAAGACCCAATTAACCATTGGGGCCGAGGTCCAAGAAGAGGCCCCGCGAAGACGACGACGTGCTTTTCATCGATCTGACGACGTCTCACCCGGTGCCGTACCTGAACCCGAAGCCCATCCGCGCGCTGCCACCGCCAGGGGCCATACCGGTGAGCGAGTGGAGGATGGTGGTGGCGCCGCCGCCGCCGGAACTGGACGAGTACCCGCCGGACCGCCGCGAGTGGTGCTTCTTCAAGAAGTCGTACGCCACCGGGCTGTCGACTTGCCGCGGGAGGAAGCTGCTGGACACCGGAGAGGTCGTGCACTTCGCATTCCCGTCGTACGACAGGCTCCACGGCGGCCTCAGGATGCCGGTCAGGCAGGCTGCTGCTTTGGCGGAGATCATGCGCTTCTCGACCAATCGATCTGGAGAGGTTCGTTCTTGCAACAACACTCACTCTCACTCTTACACCTGCCTGCGCAGAGTTAGTATCTCAGCTTTCATTATCCGATTGATGGTAATTGCAGATTGGGAAGCTATCTCCCATGTGGGCAAAGTGCCTTGCTCCGCTGGCAAGTTCTTCAAGGATTATGGTCCTGTGAAAGATAGTGTTCCCCATGATGGAGCTGAGGCTGATGCAGGAAGTTTTGCTGTATGTCAGGTAATGAGCGGAACTGAATATTCATCTATGCTTGCTGTTTGATTTGTTACTTCACCGATCCATTTTGCCGCTATGCTGTTCTGATTAATGATGAATTTGTTGGTTCGTTGCAGCTTCTACATCATCGCTCGGCCATGTACCGCTCCTGAAAATGTTCATCACCCCGACAATCCTCTCCGTGTGCTGTTCAAGTTACTCCGGCGATTCGGCGTACCTGAAAACTGAAGTCCTTGTGTGGCCAGAAGGTACCCAATGGACAACGATGGCCGCTTGGAAGGTTTTAGGAGCTCATTAGGAATAGAGCAGTGCGAACCGCTTCACTGCGTTGGCTAATTTTGCTCCAGGGAAACATGGTTGTAGTCAATCCAGTGTCTCTATATATCCAGTGCCATACGGCATCATCGCTATTAGCTGTTCTTGTATTTATGCCCCCCCCCCCCCTACTACTTGCGGTGCATGTGCATTGCATCCTTTTGAGTCCGACTTGACGGTCTAGCTGTAGCTGTGACCTGTGAGCTTATGAGCGATTCTTGTTTGGGAGCGTTTGGTGCCCTGTATTGTCCTTGCTCCTTGACGAATTGCTCTTGCTCTACAGAATTTGCAGAATTCAGTGCATCGATTAATTTCCTGTGTTTTTTTTGGGGTCTGAATTGTTGAGGTGTTCTTATCTGTTCTTCCTGGGAAGCAGATCCAGTGAATCTTTTTGTTGTTTCCTATTCCGTTTTGGCTGATCGAGCTGTAAAACAGAGGACCCAAACACATAGAAGATTGCAAGAATGGTTTGTTTGGCTGTTCCCAGACTTTCGAGTTGAGAGGCGTGGTTAATTCGTTTGCACTTCTCGATCAGGTCATCAGGATGGGATGCCATCCAGAATGCTGTAACGGATAATTGGTCTTTTGGCTTTAGTTGAAGAATGGGGCTTTATTAGCCTTAAAACTCAAAAAAATACTTGTTTGGGAAAAACAGGAAACATAAGAATCTGAACGGAAAGAGAACAAAACAAATTATAGTTCTTTTTTCTATATAGAATCAGACTTGCTAGCGCTCGACGTCCGAACAGTAACACCCTCCTTAAACAAATTACTAAAATATGTCATGAGCATTATGTTTATGTGATAACGCATGTGATAGAATGTGTGGATGATTTTTTTAACTTAACATGATCAATAAAAATGTTAAATGAAAAGCTACTCCATAATTCATGTATATCAAGTAGGGTTGAAAACCAATTTTTACTGAACAAAAACACTATAGAACATATATGTAGCACTTAAATAAAGTTTGGAGTATGGACGTTGTAGATGTCAATGAAATCCTTGCAGTTAAAAAATAACTTCGCTAGCTAATGCTTCTAATGGCCTAGAAATACAACTTAGAATCGAGTTCAGCTCAAAGACTTAGAATATTTTCAAGTTTATAGACAGCAAGACAATACCATGTTTGGCAATTTATTTTGTAAAATCGAGTTAAGGGATGGTGTTGGTGTTTCTGACTTACCAACTAGTAAATTTTTAATATTGCGTGTCTGTCTCGGATAGTGTGTGTTTAGAGGATACGAGATTTATACTGGTTCGGACAGAAAGTCCCTACGTCCAGTTCGTCGCTGCTGTTCGTGTTACTATCACTAAAAGTTTATAGTAGGAGTTATAAACGAGCGAGAGAGGGATAGGTCCCAAGTCTCTGATGTGCGTGTGCTCCCAAGGCGCGTTAGGGCGTGTATTTTGATGTCTACAGCCGTGTAGATTGGTGAACCGCCCTCCTCCTGGGACGTACTGCTCCCCCTTTTATAGACGAAGGGGAAGAGCAGGTTACACAGAGGGAAAGAGGAAGAAGTGCCAAGGAGAGGAAGGCTTCCAGGACCACCGGACCTTTCTTTTCCTTTATGCGGGTCCCGCCAACACTACAGATGGTGATATGGATGGCTCTACGCCGGGCGCCTGTTCGCCGCTGATGCCACGCCCCGGCGTTGTCAGCGGGTCGTGACGTCCCATTCGTCCCGGCGGGCGACGCGGCGAACCAGCGTGCTGGTCAGCGGCCGTACAGGGAGTAGGTAGCATAGTGACCACGCGTCCATCACTGTTGGTGATGTGAGTTCCCTAGAGTGACATGTCGCGAGCACAGGTCATATTGAGATGTGCCCGCTCCCTGCATGATGCCAGAAGTTTGACCTTGTATTGTACTTTCTGGCCCGTAGTGGTTGGCGGCGGTACGGGCTTTCGTCGGGAGCCGTGCCTGAGGGGTCAGGCGAGATGGAGCCCCCGACCCAGAGGCCGGGCGAGGCGGGGCCCCCGACCCAGAGGTCGGGCGAGGCAGAGCTCGCTCCCTAGAGGTCTGGCGAGGCAGAGCCCACGTACCTGGGGGTCGGTTAGAGCTGTAGTTGCGCTCTTGACTTGCTCGGATGAATCAATGTTGATGACCATTAGCTCCTTCTCTTCGGGTACCATAGTATTGGTCCCTGACAGTAGGTCCCAAGCCTACGGAGGAGTAGAATACTCCTTTGGAGGCTTTTCCCAACAGGAGGACTCTGAGGGCCTTGGCCTTCTTTTGTCGCTCATAGACGGCGATTCCCTTTCATCGTGATCGGACCCCTCGGGGGTATAACCGTGAGATTTGGTGGGTCAGAAAAGGTCTTTCCTGATTCTGACCCCTACGGGGGTCTATCGTTCTATGACCGCATGTTCGGTCTCCTTACGAGTCCAACTTTCCTCGAGCCTCGCTCGTAGTAGGGGTGCGGTCAAGGGTCGGCTTGTCTTTGTGATCGTCTTCCCTCAAGCGTTTTTTTCGATAAAAAGGGAGGGGCTGAGCCATGCCATGATTTTCCTCTATGGACGAATCATGGTGCTCGATGAGCTATTAACGGGATAGTTCGAGCAGGGCCCCGACATCCTGTTCGTGGGGGTCCGGCTTGGGTCAGGTGGTGACCGACTCTAGATTCTCAGCGGTCAATCCATATAGTTCTCGGGTCCGTTCGACCGGTCCTGAGGGCTCTCTGCCTTTCTTCGAGGAAAAACCATGGATCGTATCCGGCCAAGACTCAAACATGGGTCGGGATGGCCGCGACGCTCGTGCGCTCGGGTACTGGCCACTAGCGGGCCCATCCCTTTCCACTCCTCACTCTAAAGGTGCCTGGAGCGGTTGTCAAACCCGTCGGTGGGCCAACCTCCGAACTCTTAGGCCTAGATGGGTCATAGGAGCGTTTTTAGCTTCGTATCCCTGCTACCTGTGATGGGACATGGCCTGTTTGGGGAGGCGAAATATCTGGCGTGTTTTCCGAGGAGACGACCATAGGTTGCGTGCGCACGCCCCACGACGAGACATGGTGATAGGTCGTGGTAGGCATGGAGATCTAGGTAGGCGGTTGGTTTCCTAGCACCCGTCGCCCCTATAAAACCAAAGGGTTAGCCCTCCGTGTTTCATACGCACGCCTCCATCCTTACCTCCGTAGCCACACCACCACCGCCAATGCTTAGGTTTCCTACCTCTACATCTCCGCTGTCGTTAAGCTCGCATCCAACCACCCCCACCTCAAATTGATCCGTGGTGCCGTTCTGACATCACCTCCGAGCGCATGGAGGGCCTCATCCATCATGGTCTTCTCCGCGCGCGGACCTCAGGAGAGGAGTGGTTGACGCCTGGCAACGAGGATTCATCATCATCGCCCGATGGCTACGTGGTGTCAGTCACCCACTTCCACGAGCGTTGGCTCATGACCCCCGCCCAGAAATTCCTCTGAGCCTGCTGCACTTCTACAAGATTGAGCTACAACATCTCAATCCCAATGGGATCCAGCACATGGCGGTGTTCATTGCGCTGTGTGATAGATTCCTAGGGATCAGTCCCCACTTCAACTTGTGTAGGTATTTCTTCATCGTCAACCTCCAGAAGAAGAGGGAGAAGGGCGGCAGGCAGGAGCTGCACATGCCAATGGGGTGCGCAGGCATCTAACTTCAGAACAATTAGGTCAACATGTACCTAACCATGCGACTCTCGATGTCCAACAAGGGGTGGCACTCGTAGTGGTTCTACCTCAAGAATGACGCTGCCGCCCCTCTACTGGAGTTCACCAGGCGTCTGATCGAAGAGGCCCCGGAGCAGTGGATGAAGTGGGGCATCCTGGGGAAGGACAAGAAGAAGATCTGAGACCACATCGCCGCCATCCACATCCTGAAGGAGAACGGCCTAAAAGGGTTAGGCGTCATCGGGGCTTACCACACGAGGAGGGTGGCACCGTTGATGATGCACGCACTCTCGCTATACACGATGGCACCCGAGGTGTTGTTTGATGGAACGGCGCTCGCCGAGGGAACGCTCTCCAACTCTGAGATCACGCAATACATCAAGAAGGTGATCGAGCCTTTGCAAGATGACACGGGTGCCGCCCTCGACTTCGTCTACCTGGTGCCGAGGCATCCTCCGATGAGGTCGGAGCCAGGCTACGTTGTCCTCGTAAGTTTCCCTTTCTCTTGCCTTCTCTTCAATTGATTTCTCAACCCCGTGAGACTAACTTTGAGAGGGGTAGGACCAGTCGAGGGACCTCATCCTCACGGATCACCCGGCGCTGCTGCCGAGGGATTCGGTTGTGAGGGAGGCGAATTGCGCCGAGGGCGAGCAGCTGAGGAAGGCGAAGGAGGACAAGAAGAGGATGAAGCAGCGGAAGCTACGAGCGCTGGAATGAGGAGAGGACACTGACAATGATGGTGGTGATGATGATGGTGACGACAATGAGGTGATTGAGAAAGAAGAAATGATTGCCGACGATATCAAGTGGGACAACCTAGAGAACGAGGGTGTGCTGATAGGCATTGGTTCATCCTTGCAGGCATTGGGACCCTTCCCATTCCATGGAGGGGAGGGAACGTCTAGGGAGCTGGTGGAGGTAGGCCATTTCGATGCCCCCAGGAGCCAACAGAGGCAGGCGGCTCTGCCGTCGCGCCCCACGAGCCAAGGGGAGCAGGGCGTTCTGCTAATGTGCTCTAAGAGCTGCTAGGGGTGAGCCCCTCTACCCAAGAGCAGGGGGCGGGCTCAAAATGGCCTTGTTCCGATGAGGCGGAGCAAGGGTCGGGGGTTCATTCCCCAAATGCATCTACCGCTCGACGGCGCTGAGGTGAGTTATCAATTCCTCTGTTTTTTCCTGTCTTAGGCGGGATG